AAGTAATAAGATAGATGGAGGAAAAAAAAAAAAAAAAGCTTGGGAAATTGCTTACTTCAGTATGAAAGCTGCTATTGGATTTTTTTTTTTTCCAAACACAAGTAGGATGCCCGCCAGAAAGTCTGGTGGTCTAATAAATACTCAAAATGAAAAGAGACCACTTCAGAAGCAAGAAAACTAAATTAAATATTTCCACTGAACTCTTTAACAGTGGCCAACATCAGATATCCATGGAAAAAAAAAAGAAAAAAAAGGTCAAGTATACAGTGGTACTTCCCAGTACATGCTCCTATCTTCAGCCACCTAAAGCTTACAGACTTTGTAGTTTGGAAATAACAGATGATATCTGTAGCTTTTACTGGATTTTTTTTTTTTTCCTCTGAATAACCTAATTGCTTTTTTTTTTTTTTTTTTTTTTTTTTTTTTTTTTTTGTTAAACACAGTATTTCCAGAAGAATGCAACATAAACTGATTAACTATCGTGGTGTATAACTACTGCTGACACCAGCCTTGATTTCAAGCAAACAGAAGTAGGAAAATCTGACACCATTTTTTACAAAAGGGCCCTGGGGATCTAAAGAATAGCTGACTACTAAGTCCTACTCCAGTGATGAATAGAAGCTAATAATAAAGAACCAAATTAGTAAGTCATAGGCACAGCTTTTGTGGAAGAAATCCATGCTGCAGAAACATATTACAATCTTTTAAAGGAATCAAAAAAATATGTGAACACAAGTGAGTCTGCTAAATAGAGTAACTGAACTTCCAAAGTCTGTGACGAGGATCTTTGGTTTCTTTTCAAGCAAAACTCTTCAGCAAAGTACATCGGGATAAGACAGAAGATCCTTTTAGATTAATAACTGCTTAAGGAGGAGGAATGAACACTGAAAGGAGTTTGCGACTGTAGCAGCCTAAGCATCTGTGCTGGGATCCAAGCTGTCTACCTCCTCTTCCAGGTCATTACTGGGCAATAAAAAAGAAACAAACTTTGGCAGTCTCAATTGAAATGACTATAAAAAGCTGCAGAAGAATTCAAAGACACTATCCAGGCAATGAACTGGCAGGAGAACCCACTACAAGTGCAAGTGAGTGCACACACAGTGTAAGAAACAGACACAGTGCACACAGCACTCAGAGACAGTCTCCGAACTTGTTTTTGCCACTCATAACCTTGGAGCCAAATACGGACCGCTTTTTGAGCATTTTAGCACACATACTGTTTACTTCAGGCTGGAAAAAGACTTTCTCTCAGGATGTACTGAATACTAGGAGTTCAAGGACACTTAAAAGACAAGTCAGAACACTGAAAAAGGTCCACGATCCTGTTGCAATTTTTGACTCAAGAAGCCCTTGCCCACTGGTTACCAGCAATGGAAGTTACTCCATTATTGTATGTTTTCTCTCATGCGTATGTTATTACACGGAGAAGATAGATCTTTGGTCAAACCCAGAACATTTGGATTTGTTATTATTATTATTTTTTTAAACACTGGACGGGGTGCTGGAAACAAAATTCTCTTCAGATTTTTTTTTTTTTTTGAGAGGACCCACCTTGTACCTAACAAAATTTATCCCCAGCCTACATCCATTTTCTATTTCCCTAGCATGGTGTGTTTATCTTGAATCTAAAATCATCCAGAAACTTTATCATTTTGTTTTTATTCAGTTTTATCTCCGTGCACACTCCTGATCACAAAAATACCCTGGGAGTAAATAAATTAATTACTGTATTCCCTAAAGCTAACATTAGTTTAACTAGAGTTCTGCTAGGAAGCAGGACAAAAGGTAAAACTGAATAAAGGCTCTTTAAAAGGATTTGCCTATTAGAATTAAAAATAAAATAAAATCCAAACAACAACTTGGTAAAAAAAAAAAAAAAGTTTTTTTAAAAAAAGTTTTCTTCCAGCAACTGTACAGAGGTTTTGGACAGGGTCTGCTAAGCCTGCCCCCATTTCTTTGCAACCAGAAGTAAAATGGAACAAGTATTGCTCCACCTAAACCCAGCTTATGGTTCCCTTGGCCCTCCTGCAGAGTGCTGAAAGGCTGAAGTGAGATGATTTGAAATTTTGTACACAGATATTTCAGTACCCCATACATTCTTGGTTTCATTTAACCGAACCTGTGACTTTCATGCCAACAGAAGTGTTTGCCTTCAACCTCAAAACTGCCTGGTTACAATACACCAGGCAGGAATACGCAGTACTAGCCAAAGGAACATTTTCCGATGTACCTGACAAACCATATCAACACGTCATCCAATATTATTTCTCTCTACAGGGGGCAGCAAGAGGCTTTTTATGGCAGCCGAGACAGCCCACAGTCCCCAGCAAAGTTCCTGCTGAATCAATAACAGCAGCTGGCAAATCACCTTGGCCACGTATGTGCCTGACTCGAAAGACAAATCTGACCATAGCAGGACTGAATCCCCCTTCACAGGCATTTCTTCCCTCTTCCCCTTTCAGCAGAGTCGAGCCTCAAGGCTTCATGGCTTTTAAGCTGAGAGACTCAGCTCTTGCAGTGCTATTTCACTCCTGCCAACACCACCTGGGGAAGCACTTGGCGTACTTCCCTGAACCAATCTGAGTGCTGAGGGTAACACTGAAGAATTTTTATGCCTCAAGGAAAAGGCAGAGGTGAGGCCTACCTGGATTTGAACACCTCTGAACAAACTCTGTCTTTGCCTGAAATATCTTCCTCAATTAGCAATGCTGGCAACCAAAAAAAAGGATGATTATACTGTTCTTCAGTAGGATTATGCTGAATGTTGACCAGCCTTACCAACTAAAATGACCTCCTAAAGAGATCAGTAGGATGAAAAGGGGAAGGAAAATAAATGGGAAAATAATTCATCCAACAGGCCATCTGCTACCTTTTTGCTACATTTCTTCCCAGTAGCAGGGGGATGAGCAGGAAAAAAAATACAATATCTGAAAACAGCCCCTGCCAATCCTACATTGCTTTCCCTCTCTTCTGCCTTTCCCAGGAAACACATTGAAACAATAAACATTTAAACTATTCAGAATAATTGCAAGCGTCCTGGGTATTCATTATACAAAATAATTTATATCAAGTTGCCTGAAAGATGTGTTTTGTTAACATTTTTGTGCTGTTTTGTATGCTTGCATAGGATATTAAACAGTAAAACCTAACTTTGATTTGATCTGCTGGCTTTGACCTCCATGGAAGACTTATCTGCAAGTGAACTTGGAGGAAACTCTTTTAAATTTCTGATCTAATCGTGGCTGTCTCTTCTATTCCTCAAAGCATTTAAGTCTTCTTAGGGAATTTCTGTCTTTAGAGTACTAGTAAAGATAAACTCTGAGATTACAGGTGGGGAACTACTTGGCAGATATGTAGTCTCTCTGATGCTTTCCACCTTGGGGAAAAATGGGCAGAATGAAGTCATGGAGCTCGGCTGCCAAAGATAGGGTCAGTAGCCTAAGCTGAGGCAGCCTGGTCCCACCTTCATAGGACATGTCATAGGACATGCTGCCATTTCTGCTCAGCTGTGCGGGCAGAGCAGAGAACAAAGAAAGGAGCACGCTCCCACCCTCTGTCTTCCCACTCTCCTGAGGAAGGCAGGGCCAAAATGAACCCTGCTAACACAAACTCTTGACTCCGAACAGCTTCACTCTGCTCAGTTCACCACCACACCTGGTGGGGAAACCATTTTTCTTTCCAAGTGTCTGTAGTCCTGTTGCCTCTTACAAAAAGGGCCTCAGTGGCTGCCAACACCACAACAAAAGCAGCAATGCTTAGGGAACGGCCACCTGGAAGGAAATGCTAGCCCAAACAGGTTACCTGGAGCATTTCCTCCCCTTCAAAAAATCTCTTCAGCACAGAGGCCCAACTGCTGACTGCAGTGAAGAAATAAAATTAAAGTGAACCTCAAGATAGCGAACCTTTCCCTGCCACTAGCAGCTGACAGACTCGTTTTTCTCCTCCAGCTTCAGGCAGGTGGAAACCTTTAGTAAGTCACCCAGGGAACATGGCATGAAGAAAGAGAGGCGCTGTAATCTGTGCACTTCAGTCATTTTAACAAATGCACAGCAGGCAGTAAATTCACGCAGCAGTGCTTGCACAAGCATGAGTCAGGCTCACAGCTGGCCGGCTGTCTCCCACCTCACAGCATGGAAAAACACTGTTTTTATGAAAGGCCACAGTACAGTCCCAGTGAGCAACCAGTGACCAACCAAACAGATCAGCTGCCACAGCTGGAAGCGTGCAGTGTCGAGGTGGGCACCAAACCCCAGGACTGGCAGAGCACCCCCTCTCTGCTGGGGAGGAGAGGAGAGAGAAAACAGGCAATACATCATTTTGTACCTAAATTCACACACCCTCCTGTCCAACGTAAAAAAGCTAATCCCAGGCAAGTTATTATTATTTTTTTTCCCCTAAGATTAGTTCCTTCTTTATGATAAATGCAGTAAGAAGCGTAGGTAGAAGATTAATCTGCTGTCAGCTCCAAAATCCAAACTCCAGTATGGCAGATCTATACTCTTGCTAATGCAGGTAACTAAGCAGAGTTATTTAAAGGGAACAATATTACTTCATGTTCTCTCTCTTTTTTTTTTTTTTTTTTTTAAGCATTGGCATGAAATCATAACTAAATAAAACATACTATAGGAACTTACGTATGAAATAATAATTAAAAAAAGCATTCTTAAAAGCAAATCTTAAGAAGTTATGGACTATAAAGAGAACACACAACAAGGAAGACTGACTGGACATGGAACATCTAAATATATGCAATTAGACTGGATGACTTCAGAGACAAATCAATATAGATTAAGTGTTCGTGAAAGGAATAATTGGAACAGCATTAAGAATAACATATGGAAACATTTGGTACAGTACAGCACATTTGCCTGTCAGGACAAGAAGTCTCAAGTACTTGGCCTAATTAATAATATTATTTTAAGCATCAATTAAGATCCATGGAAAGAAAATAATTAAACCTCATAAAAACAGAACTAAAAGAAAACAAAAAGTTTGCTTACTCTTCTTGACGCAAGTCATTAACGCTCCGATCTAGTGAAATCATATCACTTGCCACCATATTAAACCCAAATTCTTTAATGCTGGCTTGAATGGATTCTTTGTAATCTGGTCCTAAAACATATGGCTTCGCTTCCTCTCCAGGGCCACCAACAACTCCGTGAGGCTCGGGCTCTTTGGGTTCAAAATTACCAAGGACTCCAGGTCGTAAAACAGGATCTCGGTATACAAATGTCTGAGGCTTAAATGTGAGATACTGCCTCTGGATGACATTTTGCTGATTGTTATCACCACCACCATGCTGATTTAGTTCATTTTTGGCCTTATTTTTCCTTCGAATGGATTCCAAGTCCACTTCCACGCCTTCAACATGAGGCCAAGGTACCACAGGTTTGAACTTCTCATTTCCTAGTCCACGTTCTCCTTTGTTTGGTATGGGTCTGTTGGCTTCTTTGTCATCCTATATATACACAGAGAAACAGCAGGAGATCAAATAAATGTATCACTTTTATTTATCCTTTTTCTCTCCCCCCCCCACACCCCCAAAAAAATCCAGTACCTTGGGCACTGCAAATTGATAGTAAATGTATGTTATAAGCAAGAATGGAGAAATCTCTGTTCATTCAGGGCCTGAATGAACACTTGTCATTAAAGCTAGCAGTTGCTGGAGAGCATCACTGGACAGTGTCCACACTTACCTGAGCAAGTGGTCCTGGAAAGGGCCTAATGTTCACACCCCAAAAATTGTTCAGCAGTTTTACAGCTTCCTCCCAGAGAAACACAAAATTCACACTGAGATTTCAAAACCCTCTTGGCATTTTCAGTGATCAGCAAGGTCCATGGGGGTAGGACAAGGGTGATTTTGAAAGAAACTTGGCAGAAAGGCTCTGAGTGGCTGTTTGTGAAGTCTCTGGAGTACAACAGCCCCACCCATGAACACGCTCTAAAAAAATAGTCACTGCTTTCCCTAGTACTTCCATCCAATGGGACAATGGGGAAACATTGCTGAAAGTTCAGATTTCCTGGTAAAATTATCTATTTGTAAATGTGATAGATGCTCTCTGTGGAATTCAGCGTCACCTAAAAACACATGCATTTTAGCAACATCTCACTATCTGTTCACAAATACAGGATCAAAATAAAATAATAATAATAAAAATCAGAAGGATGTCACTTATTCAAACCTGTTAGAGGAAGGTATAAGTCCAAAGATCAGGCTACTGAGAGACCTGTCCAGTCATACTCTGAAAACACCCAGTATCTCTGGACAGCCTCTTTCAGTGCTTTACCAGTGCCTCAGTGAAGATATCTATTTCTTCTCATACCCAATTAGAAATTTCTTGTTGTTTCTTGGAATGATTGCCTCCTGTCCTTTCAGTGTTGACCCCTGAGAGGACTTTATTTCCATTTTCTCTGTAACCTCACTTTTGAGGGTGAAAGGCTGTAATTAAGTTCTCCATTAGACTTCTCCAGGCAAAACAACCCCAACTCCTCTGCCCTGTCCGTGTGCTGCAGCCTCCTGGCCTTCTCAGCAGGTCTTTGCCAGTCCCCTTCCATTTCTGAATTTCTCTCTTACACTGGGCACTGCAGGAGGAGAAACCAGACACAATGCTCCAGATGCAGTCTTGTTAATTGTGTGTTATCAAGAAACAAAACACTTCCCTTAACATAACTTGATGGCTAAGCTCTTGCTAGTCATTATGCAGTTTACCTTTACTGCAGCAAGAGCACATTGCTGACTACATCACAGTGTTTTCCTCACATACCATGCTGCATAATGAGCTTCAGAAAGTAAGAAAAATCCACGATAAAATATGCCTAGAGTAACACAGTAACAATGGGAGTCAGACGGGCTCCAATTCAAAATAACATTCTGCTTCTCTGTTCTAATTTGATCAGGGAAGATGTACAAAATGCAGAAGTGTTACATTATTCTGCTCTTCCATCACTTTCTGAGGATCCCTGAAAAGCCAACCTGGGAAAGGGAAGGATAAGAGCACACAAAAAGGCACGTTTAGCGAGGAGGTAAAAAGCTACCATGTATCTAACTAAAGTGTTGAGAGGACTCTTCAAAAGAACATCACCTCACACTTACCCTAGAAATCAACATGAAGGTTCCACCACTCAACTGCTAGAACGCTGCTGACCTCTCACAAATTTGTGCCTAATTTCTGCTCCAAGTGCAGAGACAGCTAAGAAGCCAATAAAATAGTGGGCATCATCAGGAAGGATTCTTAAAGAAACTGTAATTTTGACTACATAACATTTTGTTACATTCCTGTCTTTGGTAATATTTAGTTCTGGTCTTCACATCTCCAAAGCACACGTCAAAGTCAGAGGAAGTATAGAGCAGAGCAACTGGAATGAAGGAGGAGGTGGATAGGTGCCTTGGGATGTATGACCACAAGGACTGGGATTACAGTTTGGTGATGTGATGGCTGAGGGCTATATGACTGAGGTTAAGAAAATCATGAGGGTGATGTATATGTTGATAAACCAATGTTTATCCTAAATCCAAGATCTAGAGGCATTTAAAAAAAAAAAATCATGGGATAATTTTTGTAAAAGAACAACAACAAAGCCAAAAAGGTTTTTTGCACAGGCAGTGATCTCCTGGGATATGCGACATGGGAGGCTGTGGACAGAGACAGTACAAACAGCGAACAAGGGATGAGGAGGCAAAGTGCTGGATGACTGGTTTATGAGCGGACAGTAAAAGGAGGAGGCAGGAAGGTAGCTTCTAACAACTCTAATTCAACCTGTGTGGATGCTGGAAGAGTCCAAAGAGAAGGAAGCAGAGCCAGAAGCCAGGCTTGCCTGCACGTCCTGCTGCCACTCTCAGATAGAACCCTGGTCTAGATGGATCACTAGTCTCAGTCCACCAGGCATTTCTTATACCCTTGGTCTGTACCAAATTAAATATCTGTTCACTCCATTTCCACCACCTGTAAAACATTACAAGCTTCGACTTCACCCATTCTCTGACTGAAGCAAAACACTTTTAAAAGTAATTTGTTTATTTTGCTGCCATCAGAACTATGGCTTACCTCACATTACACTTAGCCTCATTATAACTGTTACACATAATTTGCATTATAATGCACTTATTTTCTGCTCCTTTCAAGACACTAAATATATTTCATTTTTCTAGGGCTGGAAAATACTGCATAGAATGAGCAGATTATACACACACACACAAACACTTGCTCACCTCTCCCCTCCAATTTCTACACACCTATGACAATACGACAGCAGGCGCTCATTGTGGGTCGGCCCCAGGAGGCAGCTAAGCACCACGCTGCCGCTCACTCACTACTCCCTCCCTATGCCTAGTGGGGTGGAAGGAAGAGAAAAAGAACAGAAGTGAGAAAACTCACATGTTGAGATAAAAATAGTTTGAAAGTGAAGAAGTGGAAGATAAAGAGAAAACAAAACAAGTGACGCAAAGGCAATCACTCACAACCTCCCACGAGCAGACTGATGCCCAGGCAGTTCCTGAGCAAAACATGGCTAATCTCTGTAAAGCCACTCTTCTCCTTTCTGAGCATGACATTATATGTGTATGGAATATCTCTTTATCAGTTTGGGTCACTTGCCTGGCAGTGCCTCCTCCCAGTCCCTTGCTCAATCCTAGCCACCTCCCTGGTGGACAAAGTGAAAAATGGGGAAGGCCTTCAGGCTGTGCAAGCACTGCTTGACCATAACTATACCACTGGTGTTATCAATGCCGTGTTGCTAGCAAACCTTACAGGCTGCTGTGAAGAAAATTAACAGCATTTTATGGGACAAAAAAAAAAAAAAAAAAAAAAAAAAAAAAAAAAAAAAAAGAATTGCTTAAGTGCAGTCCACAGGGCCAGGAGATTACTCATTTATCCACAGATAACAGAGACAAAGGATTTCTAAATACCATCTGGAAGAAAAAGCAAAGTCAAGCCACAATCAAAGAACTATTTTGGCCATTATTCATGTATAAACCCTTAGTTAGGAACTTCTAGAACTTCTCTTTTATAAGTGATGACTTCCCTTGTATTTTTTTAAATGATTAAATGACTTATCCAGAACTGACTGAAATAGTTTTTAATTAGTGATTAAAAGTTCAGTGCAGCAAAAGAAGAATCAAACTTCTAAAAGATTCATACAACAATGACAGACAAGTTGGAAGGCATGCATATGAAAAAAAAAATCACAATCTTTCAAAAATTGGAAAGAAAAAAGTCTTAAAATTATTTGAAAAAAACTTTGGAAAAAAACAAATCCATTACAACAAGCTGAAGGGAAGTCTCAGAAAAAAGTGAGCACAACACACACCTGAACGTTCCTGTTTTTTTCCAGAAATTAGGGAAGAGAAGCAAAAATCTGAGTCATCTCACATCTAAAGACCACCAAAGAAGAGCAACAAGATCTCATGACATCTTTACAAAGTGCACGTAGCAAGCTGTTTATATATAATAATATAGATTTCTTCCCCCCAGGAAATAAACCTTTTTTTTTTTTTTTTTCCCCCTATAGGCTAAATCTAGAGATTAACTGCCAGCTTTTGTAGCTCCAGCTCAAGTGAAGCCTTCTTCATTTTTTAGATGTTGTTTTCACCCCTTAAAAGGATTATGTATGAGTCACTGCTATGAGTGTATTGGAAATATTGAGATGATATAAACATAGTCAATTCCTGACTTGTGTAAAAAGGAGATTTTTTTTTTTTTTTTTTTCTGGCAAGTTAGGTTCTTCCTTTTTGCAAACGAGAGGAATGAAACTGAACTGATGAGGAAAGTAACTGTATCCTCTCAGAATCATATTTCTAAATTATACAAAGGAAAAGAATAAAAAATGGGAGAGGCCTTTAGAAGGCTGCAAGATTAGTCAACTGACAGAAGGGCTGGAACTCTGGCTGGCAATAAAACTGAAAATGTCAAAGTTGCATAATCTGCTTTCCTTAAGTAATCCAGTTCAAGACTGGCAACTCCCTAAAATTCTATGAAATAATGTCTGAAGTACAAACCAGTGTTTAAAAAAACAAACAAACAAACAAACAAAAAAGACAAAAACAAACAAACAAACAAAACACCACCAACAACAACAAAAAACAAACAAACAAACAAAAAAAAACAGTGGATTTGTTTAATCTACGAAATGGAAAATTATCATACCCCAAAAAAAGTTTGCTAATTGAAAAGAATGTCTATAAAAGCAACTTGCTCATCTAGACAAAAATCAGTGATGCCTCATAAATGAAGAGAAGCATAATTAAGTACAATTCAGTAGTATACTTATTACCCAAGGCTACAAAAGGAAATTAAAAACTCTACACTCTCAGAATATATGTAGTCATACCCAGCTGATTAAAGATATTCAGGTGTTCTTGATGAAAAACTACAAAACCTCATTAGGTTTAATATTTTAGTAATCCAGAAGGTCAATCCCTATGTACTTGCATTTTTCTCCAGTCTAACTTTTGCCTTTCTT